TTCAACAGGACCAATTTTACGGGCCGACAGCTTATTGTACTCATGGGCCGAGAAACGATCTTTAGTCAAAACTGCCCAGACGAAATCTTCCACCTCGAACTCCACATGGCGACGCCGCATGTCGGCATGCTTCTTGTAGCCGGCGGTGACGGTCTCCAAACGAGCCCGGGCGGACTCGTGAGTGCGCCGCAAATCCGCCATCAACTCCTCGGCACGAGGCTCGGCCGCCACAGCCGATGGCAAAGCGAGCAAGTCCGCGGCCCCTCGCGGACGGACGGCGTATACCACCTCAAACGGGGAGAAGCCCGTCGCACGACTCCGAGCCGAGTTATGAGCGAACTCAGCCTGCGGGAGTCGTTGGTCCCAACTCTTCAGATTCTCGCCCACCAAACAACGCAATAAATTCCCAAGGGACCGATTGACGACCTCCGTCTGACCGTCAGTCTGAGGATGATAAGCGCTACTGAAGTCTAACCGAGTGTTGGCCAGACGCCACAAACTACGCCAAAAATGGCTAAGAAAACGCGTGTCACGGTCAGAAACAATAGAAGACGGTAGGCCATGCAGACGATAAACCTCCCGAAAAAATAAAGTAGCCACATGGAGGGCATCTGCAGTCCTCTTGCATGGTATAAAATGGACCATCTTAGAAAAACGGTCGACGACCACAAAGATAGAATCATTACCTCGTTGTGTACGAGGCAAACCCAGGACGAAGTCCATACTAATAGCAGTCCACGGACGCGAGGGAATCGGTAAGGGCCTGTAAAGGCCTGCATTGGACGCCACAGCCTTAGAAACTTGACACGTACGACAACGCTCAACGAAACGAGCCACATCCCGACGTAACGAGGGCCAGAAAAAGGAGCGACTGACCAGGTCAACAGAGCGATCGCGGCCCACGTGCCCAACACCATGAAGGTCCGCCACCACCTTCAAACGCAGGCTACAGTCGGGAATACATAACCGAACACCACGAAATAAGAAACCATCAGCAAGAGCATAACCATCAACAGAGTCAGAGGCAAGGCGAGAAAAAATGGGCCCGAAAAAGGGGTCGGTAGCATATAGATCCTTCAACAAATCAAACCCCACGACCTCAACCCGCATATCAGTCAACAATAAAGAACGGCGACTCAAGGCATCTGCCACACGATTCGAAGCACCCGAGCGATGCTTCAAAACAAAAGTGAACTGCTGAAGATAAGATGTCCATGTAGCATGGCGAGAAGAAATATTACCTTGAGAGCAGAGGTGGCGAAGGGCCTCATGGTCTGTGAACAAGACAAACTCCCGCTGAAAGAGATAATGCCTCCAATAATGAACGGCCCGAAACACAGCATAGAACTCAACGTCATATGTGCTGTAGCGTAATCGCGGGCCCGACAACTTCTCACTAAAGTAAGCGACAGGGCGCCCCTCCTGGCTCAACACAGCACCAATCCCGACCTTCGAAGCATCACACGAAAGCTCAAACGGGAGAGAAAAATCAGGAAGGACCAAAACCGGGGCAGATGTGAGCTTGCTCTTAATAAGATCGAAAGCATCGGCGGCCTGAGGGGTCCATACAAAGGACTTGCCATGAAGGCAGTCCGTGATAGGAGCGGTGATAGAACTAAAATGTGAAATGAAACGTCGGTAAAAAGATGCTAACCCGTGGAAGCTACGCGCCTCCGTGAATGAGGTCGGAGTTGGCCACTCCCGAATAGCGGCGACCTTGCTGTCGTCCACGCGAATGCCAGCCGCTGAGATGACAAAGCCCAAAAAGAGGACCGAGTCGACCACAAAAGAGCACTTCTTAGGCGCCGCATAGAAGGCCTCGGACCGCAGTATCTTCAAAACTGATCGAACATGCTCCAAATGCTCTGGAATAGTGCGGCTATAAATGAGGATGTCGTCGAAATAAACGACGACACATCGCCCAATGAGGTCGCGCAAGGCCTGGTTCATCACACGCATGAAAGTGCTAGGTGCATTAGAAAGACCAAACGGCATCACCAGCCACTCGAAAAGACCCTCTCGGATCTTGAAAGCGGTCTTCCACTCATCGCCCGGCCGGATCCGAATCTGATGGTAACCACTCCGAAGATCAAGTTTGGTAAAAACCGAAGCCCCATGTAACTGGTCCAATAGGTCATCGAGGCGTGGAATAGGAAACCTGTAACGAACCGTGATCTTATTAATGGCACGGCTGTCAACGCACATACGCCACGAGGCATCCTTCTTTGGAATGAGCAAGGCCGGCACCGCACACGGGCTCAAACTGCGACGAACAACCCCCCGTTGTATCAACTCCTCCACCTGGCGCCTCAACTCTTCGTGTTCAGCCGGGCTCATACGATAATGAGGACGATTAGGCAGAGAAGCACCGGGCACCAAATCGATATGATGCTGAATGTCCCGAAGCGGAGGAAGACCAGAAGGTAGCTCGGCAGGAAAGACATCAGAAAATTCATCAAGCAAAGGTTGAATAACGGTCGGCGGGGCCGTTGGTGTGGACATATCAGTACCCAAAAGAAGCACGACACACGGTGCCTCCCGCAATTCACTAGCAAAGGCCGTGTGAGACAATAAAAGAACCTGTGGTGGCGGTGGCGGAGGCAAGGGACGAGGAGGCGAAGGATGAAGGATCAATCTAACACCCTCAAACATGAAACTGTATGTGTTGAGACGACCGTCAAAAGCCACCGCGCGATCAAATTGCCATGGACGACCTAATAAGAGATGACACGCGTCCATGGGCACTACATCACACCACACCGAGTCACGATACTTGGGCCCGATGGAAAACTGGACCAACACCCGACGGTCCACCGTGATGGCGTTACCTCGCTGAATCCACGCCAAAGTGTACGGCTGAGGATGCGGTACCGTCGACAACTGAAGGCGATCCACAACATCCTGGGCCACTACGTTTTCACAAGAACCAGAGTCAATAATAAAACGACAAACACGACCACCTACCGTACATGTAGATTCAAAAATATGGTGACGCTGTAAAGACTCAGTAGTGTCAGAAACTCGAGGTGCCAAACACGAGCGGCGAAGAACCAAAGCAAGGCCCTCGTCACCACACAGATGTTCCTCCTCCGGGTCTGGCTCGACATCAAACTTTGGCGGTCCATCATAAGCTACCTCCGCCGAGCCGTCAAAGTCATCTGCCAGTAGAGCCCGAGAGCTGTTGCGGCGGGGACAGGCGGACTGACGGTGGCCGGCCTCGCCGCAAGAAAAACAGCGGGGACCACCTCCGGCGCGCGACCCCTCCATCCCAGCTGAGGCAGTCCCGATTCCTACAGCCGTGCTGGTCGACGGTCCAGCCGAGGGAAATCCAGTCAGCCCTGTCGAGTTGCTGCGACCACCCGGCAACGGCGACCGGTTCAGCCCGGGCGACGAAGACGGAGCGCCTCCTACGCGCGGTTGAAAACCCGAAGACGGCAAGGGTCGCCGCGACTGCTGCTGTTCAATGAGTAAGGCCCGTTGATGAGCGGCAGAGACGGTTTCCGGGGTGAACAAGTTCAACATGTCGCGAATGGCAAGTCTCAATCCTCCTACATAACGGGACACCTTTTGAGCCGTCGTTTCACGTAGCTTGACACGCGTAAGAAGACGATAGAAATCCTCCGTATACTCGTCCACAGATCGAGCTCCTTGTCGTAGGTTATGGAGTTGTTGATACGTGGTACTGATGTAGTTGAACGGAAGAAACTCCCGCTCGATATGTTTCCGGAATTTGGCCCACGTTGCGATTTTAGGTTTACCCAACAGACGCCTCTCGTCTTTGAGATGTTGCCACCAGGCGACTGCCCGTCCACGCAGTCGCGTGCTGACAAGCCCAACTCGATGGTTGTCGGGCACGTCTTTGTACTCAAAAACCGCCTCCACCGAAGCAAGCCAATCCAGAAATTCGGCGGCGTCCAGCCCACCCGAGAACTCAGGGATATCCACGCGAAACGCACTCTCCCAACGCCGTTCGCCGCGCGGGTCGTCATCTCCACGAGGATCATCTCGCCCAAAAGGGTTCCCCTCCTCCTCCGTAGCGTCCGAGTCGCCGCCCTCCTCCTCGTACGGCGCACGTCGGCCACCACCAAAACGCGCGTGACCGCGACCCCCACGGCCACCACGCTGCCCACCGCGACCGCCGTCCCGATGATCGGGCCCGTCACGGTTCGTCTGCTCGCGTCGCATCAAGGTTTGGAGAGCCTCACGAATATCCTCCATTCCCGCCGCCAAATCCGACATATCGCGGCCCATCGATTGGAACTGCCGCCCGAAACCCTCGC